CCTAATCTATTCCACAACTTGGACTGAATAAATCCAAAGCTAGAGAATATTCTCTCTAACCCAGTTGTGGAAGGAGAGGCAGTTAGTAGTTGTTCAAGAAGATTTGTTATTCTGACTTTTAATGGTTCCTCTAACTTGATTGTTTCCCACCAAACTGTGGGTTACACATTGAGAAAGTCATCTTCGAACTTGAAGCCTGGAAAGGAGCGGCTCTTTTTGACCAAAAAATTCAGAGCCATAGGTAAAATATTTTTGCCAACAGAACGTAGGAAATTAAAAGCTCTTTGTGTTTGCTCCTCATTTAGTTTTTTTCCACAATATCTATGGCATATTAGCAGCTAAATGAGCAGGGTTTAATGCCCTTAGACTTTTCTTTCTGAGAACTTTTTCATCACGTCTTTTTTTCCACATGCTTCTAATTTCTCCTTCAGTTTGCACCAGATTTCAACACATTGTGCTATTGTGCATTTATTTGCTTAAACTGCATCTAAAGCATTTGCAATTGGTTCTAAAATGCTTATACAATCAGAGTAATTTACCATTAAATCATTTACTAAATTATCTACCTTGGCCACTTAACCATCATAGGGTGAATGAGAACAGGTTCAGTCTAAGAATGAATTTTTAGTAGGGGGTAAGTGGGTTTTTTATAGGAAGTAAAGATAGTGTGAATGGTAGCATGAGTTTGTGTAGTGATTAAAAGAAATCTTGAAGTAACGTAGGGGATATTTTAGAAATTTTGCTGAAAATATCGAAAATATCATGATATTTATTTCAAAATAAATATCGGATATATATCTTGATGTATATCATGATATATATCCATTGATATATATCAACGAACCCTGCTTGGAACTACTTAGATTTACAAAATATCGCTTAAAAACTCTGATTATTGAGATATTAAGTATTTTTAACTGATAAGGGGTTGATTATACTCTGCTTTTTTTATTATTTTTACCTGACTTTTGATTTTTTTTTATTATTTCAATCGAATCCGGTTTCCACTGTTAGATGAACAAAAAATTTTAATATCACGGAAGCGAAACCCAGAGTTCTGTGTGATTAGGCAGCCTTTCACTTCACCACAGTGCAAAAAGTACGTGTATGCTTTTTTTCGTATGCGTAGGAATACTAAGTCCCTAAGGAAAACTTGGAACTATTTAGATTTACATAATATCGCTTAGAAACTCAGATTATTGCGATACTAAGTTTTTGTAACTGATTAGGGGTTGATAATACTCCGCTTTTTTATTATGTTTACCCGACTTTTTTTTATTGCTTTAATCTGTTTTCCACTCTTATATGAGCAAAAGAATTTTAATATCGAATTTTAGTGAAATCCGGAGTTTTTGCGATTAAGGCAACCTTTCA